GTACTCGTCTTCGTTTTGTTACTAAATGATGCTCAACCTCATCGTCTTCTTCAAAGTCAATGTCAGACTCTGAATTTTCAGAAATGTGAAATGTTCTGAAACCTCTTTGTCAACATCATCATCCGAAGCCCCTCTCTCTTCCAAAATCAATTGGATGGCCCTCACAGCAGATAATCTTTTGCCATCTTGATCAGTTGTGATAAGGAACCACACTGGCAAAGTCTTATTTATACTATTATGCCCCTAATTTGCAGGTGGGACAGGGTATGAGAAAATAAAATTTGGATCCCTCAATAAAGAGGGTAAAATGTGTGGGAATGTCAGAGCAGATGGTGTTGATAGTTTAATTTTCAACAATGCTGCAACTTTGTGCGCCAGCAGGAGGGGAAGAAAACACTATCAGCAGCACCAGAAAGGAGGAAGACAGAGTGTGGGAACACAGGACCTGCACTTTAAACACTTTTATTAGACCTGGGTCCAGTGGACCCGAACACCTTGTGTGTAATGTAAATGCGTGGGGGGGTACAGTATGAGGTCATTGAAAATTAGTTTGGATTTATGTTCTTCACAGAAAATAAGCCAAAGCCAATGAATTTCAGGTTGAAAAAACAATTAATTCTTTAATTTTTCTTCTGAAAAAAACTGAAAACGGGTCTCACAGACCCGAACACTATACAAGGGTTAAAGCGTGCTTTCAGTGACATATTGATTATCTGCTGGGTGAAATGTGTTCGTGTGATCAGAAAATGATTCTGCTCTGCTGATGAGTCTGTTCCACTGCCACAAACATGAAACACACACCTCGATACCTGTTCAACCAACCACACCTGTGAAATAAACAGCCATACTGAGCGTTGATCGCTTTTTACAACAGGATTGTATTTTACTGGTATTTCTTTTATACTCCTTTTTCATCACTATTCCTAATGTCTGTTGTGTTGTAAGGAGCGTTTTCTGTGGAAGATGGGGGAACCCTGGGTTAACTCAAGTTTATATCTGTTTATCCTGATAAGTAAAAATAATACTAATGAAGGGTGATCAGGCCTTTCCTTGAGATCTGCCCCAAAAACAATCAGAGCTCATATTTGCATAATTACTTTATTTTTATTCAATTACTTTATGTGTACTTCAACTTTCAGCGTTGCAACGCTGAAGTTTGTCATGCTGGATTTAATGGTGACATTAAAATCTGTGTGAGTCAGATCATAGCCATCAGCTTTTCCTCTGACAAACCCTCTCTCAGGAGTGCGATACATCTTATGATAAAGAGCACTATCACTGTTTGTTTCCCCGTCAAAGACTCCGACGGCGCACCAGTTAGAGTACAGGCCGTAGTCAAAAGGAACCGAGAACAGGACGGCTATTTTCTTATCAGCTCTGTCTGCAGCTGTATCGTAGAGATCGTAGGTGAAGACTCCAACAGATCCTCGCGCTGTGCCGCCAGTCTTAGAGAACAGAGCGCTGCCACATTCAGAAGGCCCAAGTTTTGTTGGCAAAGGGATTTGGCAGAGTCCGCTAACAAGATGCAGACTAGTGAGGAAAAGAAAAATATGAATTAATATTCTTATTCCAACAGGACCCTAACTCTCATAATGAGTCAGGTGTATGAGTTTGTTTAGAGAAAGAAACATGGACAGGGCTATTGCTGCTGAGATGGCAACATCATGTCAGTGTTCAGAAGAAATTTACTGCTCGTCTATTCAATTCAATTCAATATTATTTATATAGCGCCAAATCACAACAAAAGTCGCCTCAAGGCGCTTCATAGATACAGAGAAAAACCCAACAATCACATGACCCCCTATGAGCAAGCACTTTGGCGACAGTGGGAAGGAAAAACTCCCTTTTAACAGGAAGAAACCTCCAGCAGAACCAGGCTCAGGGAGGGGCGGGGCCATCTGCTGTGATTGGTTGGGGCGAGAGAAGGAAGACAGGATAAAGACATGCTGTGGAAGAGAGGCAGAGGTTAATAACAGATATGATTCAATGCAGAGAGGTCTGTTAACACATAGTGAGTGAGAAAGGTGACTGGAAAGGAAAAACTCAATGCATCATGGGAATCCCCGGCAGCCTACGTCTATTGCAGCATAACTAAGGGAGGATTCAGGGTCACCTGGTCCAGCCCTAACTATATGCTTTAGCAAAAAGGAAAGTTTTAAGCCTAATCTTGAAAGTAGAGATAGTGTCTGTCTCCCGAATCCAAACTGGAAGCTGGTTCCACAGAAGAGGGGCCTGAAAACTGAAGGCTCTGCCTCCCATTCTACTTTTAAATCCTCTAGGAACAACAAGTAGGCCTGCAGAGCGAGAGCAAAGTGCTCTAATAGGGTGATATGGTACTACAAGGTCATTAAGATAAGATGGGCCTGATTATTTAAGATCTTGTATGTGAGGAGCAGGATTTTGAATTCTGGATTTAACAGGAAGCCAATGAAGGGAAGCCAAAACAGGAGAAATATGCTCTCTCTTTCTAGTCCCTGTCAGGACTCTTGCTGCAGTATTTTGGATTAGCTGAAGGCTTTTCAGTGAGTTTTTAGGACTTCCTGATAATGGCCTGTATTTTATATAGCGCTTTACTAGTGCCAAGGACCCCAAAGCGCTATACATATCCAGTCATCCACCCATTCACACACACATTCACACACTGGTGATGACAAGCTACATTGTAGCCACAGCCACCCTGGGGCGCACTGACAGAGGCGAGGCTGCCGGACACTGGCGCCACCGGGCCCTCTGACCACCACCAGTAGGCAACGGGTGAAGTGTCTTGCCCAAGGACACAACGACCGAGACTGTCCAAGCCGGGGCTCGAACCTGCAACCTTCAGATTACAAGGCGAACTCCCAACTCTTGAGCCACGATCGCCCGATCGTAATAATGAATTACAGTCGTCCAGCCTGGAAGTAATAAATGCATGAACTAGTTTTTCAGCGTCACTCTGAGACAGGATATTTCTAATTTTAGAGATGTTGCGCAAATGGAAGAAAGCAGTCTTACATATTTGTTTAATATGTGCTTTGAAGGACATGTCCCGGTCAAAAATGACTCCAAGGTTCCTCACAGCGTTACTGGAGGCCAAGGTAATGCCATCCAGAATAAGAATCTGGTTAGATACCATATTTCTAAGCTTTTCAGGGCCGAGTACAATAACCTCAGTTTGATCTGAATTAAGAAGCAGAAAGTTAGCGGCCATCCAGGTCTTTATGTCTTTAAGACGTTCCTGCAGTTTAACTCATTGGTGTGTGTTATCTGGCTTCATGGACAGATAGAGCTGGGTGTCATCTGCATAGCAGTGAAAATGTATGCTATGTCTTCTAATGATACTGCCTAAGGGAAGCATGTATAATGTAAACAGAATTGGTCCTAGCACTGAACCCTGTGGAACTCCATAATTAACCTCAGTGTGTGAAGAGGACTCTCCATTTACATGCACAAACTGGAGTCTATTAGATAGATATGATACAAACCACTGCAGCGCAGTACCTGTAATACCTACAGCATGTTCTAATCGCTCTAATAGGATATTATGGTCAACAGTATCGAACGCTGCACTGAGGTCTAGCAGGACAAGCACAGAGATGAGTCCACTGTCAGAGGCCATAAGAAGATCATTTGTAACCTTCACTAAAGCTGTTTCTGTGCTGTGATGAGCTCTGAAACCTGACTGAAACTCTTCAAATAAACCTCTGCAGATGATCTGTTAGCTGTTTGACAACTACTCTTTCAAGGATGTTTGATATAAAGGAAGGTTGGAGATTGGCCTATAATTAGCTAAGACTGCTGGGTCTAGAGATGGCTTTTTGAGTAAAGGTTTAACTACAGCCAGCTTGAAGGCCTGTGGTACATAGCCGATCATTAGAGATAGGTTGATCATATTTAAGATTGAAGAATTAATTAATGGCAGGACTTCTTTGAGCAGTTTTGTAGGAATGGGGTCTAAAAGACACGTTGATGGTTTGGAGGAAGTAATTATTGAAGTTAACTCAGAAAGATCAATTGGAGAAAAAGAGTCTAACTTAACATCAATGGTACTAAGAGTACCTGATTCCCTTCTGTTACTTTTATTAGTGATATCAGTGAGGTGTCAGGTGATGTGCAGGCAGCATCTCAGTCACAGTAAGAAGTGTGGTCACCTGGGGTTTTGAAGGGTGTAGCCCTCAGTCTTGTTCGTAATATGAATGACGGACTGCCGAGCGCCCATGGTGTCCGCAAACTAAAGAACAAAAAGAGAGAGAAGAACGTGTTCCTGTCTGTGGGAGCATCTCTGTTCGTAAGACAGTAAACGTGATACAAACACCATCATGTCGTCCACTGTTACAGCCCCAGTGCCCCACCCTGTGGGACTTTTCCAATAAGAGAGACTTTACCTAAAAAGTTTCCTTCAAAAGGCTCTGCAGCTTTATTATTTATTAAAAAACAGTTTGAACATGGAGCACCGTGTGTGCGAGCAGCTGTGACTCACGTTTCCACAGCGAGCGCTCCGAACGAAACGATGACAAACAGATTCTGAACACGTCAGAGAAAGGAACATCTTTGTCTGTGTTTCAGTCAAATAAACAAGCTCGGACTCACAGTGATGAGATGAATTCAGGTGATCGGTCACCAGTGTTCGTGTGCAGTCCTTCCAGTCTGACTGAGACCAAACAATCCTCGGTTTGTACTCTGAAAGTGAAGCAGAACATCTGTTCATGAACTAAAGGAGATTTGTAGAGAGATTTTTTTCCCTTTCCAGAAAAAAATACTACCTCATTTTTTTTCTGGAGATTCGAGAAAAATGTTTTTTTACTCTGACATGTTTTGGTTTATTTCTTTTTGATTGGTCACTAAGATATTTAAAGCAAATCCCCCTCTCGCCCCTGTGGGCTGTCTTTATTGTTCAAGCTCGTATTTGATAGCTAAAGGCTTCACACTAAAACTGGTGATTATTCACTCTGAATTATTCTTATAGGTCGTCCAACTATAAGGTTGCTTTGAAGGTAACATTGTGGTGTTTATCCAGTTGGATTAAGTTTGCAAATGTGCAAAGGGCTGATTATGTTTGCAAGCAGCATATTCCATTAATATTAATTGCAAATCACTGAATGCAGGACATTATGATCGGGAGCTGAATGAAAGCGCAGCTCACTCAACACAAGCTGAACAGCAGAGAGGGAGGAGAGCAGTGAAGAGTAACCCATCTGGCTACACTAAGTAACAGTTACTGTGGAATAGCTCAGGCCGCATTCAGTGTGTTTCGTCTGATTCCTGGACTCTGATCACGCACTAACAGGTCATGGCGGACACGCTCGGCCTCGTTGGGCCAGCTGTGAGTCCGTTACCGTGAACTATGGAGCGGCAGATTTGTGCTGGAACTGAGCTGCACACAGCTGATGTTGATGTGTGCATCGGAGACCATTCAGATGGAAACCTGCAGACCCACAGAGCTGAGAACTGTCTCTGCACATCTGCCTGTGTTAGAACAGGAAGTAGTTTCTAATTTCATCAAGCTTGTCAACTTCCTGTGGTCGCAGAGATGTTAAAAACAGGAAGTGTGGTTGCTAAGCTGTTGCTATGTGTGCTGATGTCACACAGACTAGGATGAGGTGCAATATATTAGACAATTCACACAATTCACAGTATATCGGTTTAGTGTTCACCTCTCTCGAATAAAACACCACCAAAATGTGTTTTCCTATTAAAGGTGACAAATTTTGTAATGTAATGTGATGCGTTACACACAAACAAGCCTTACTGCTCGTATTTATCAGGTCTTCTCCTCGTGCATTTAACAAAATAGAAATACAGGTGTAGTTCATTACCCCGTCTGCTTTTTGTAAAGATTACTTTATTCTGATGTCATTATTTGATAGAAACACGTCTGTCTAGTGGCTAGAATGCTGGCAGTGCGCCCAGTCACCGCTCACTGTTTTAGGACATTTAAATGCAAAAATGCGTCTTTGGGCACATTTTAATGTCCACTAAAGTTAGCATTGTAATAGCAAACAAGTATTTTTGATGCAATTGCATTTAAAAACAAAAGTGCCATTTTTTTCTCCCCTCTGAGGTCAGTGGGAGGAGGCACAGACCCACCATTTAAACTGAACCCCTTTTGGTTACACACTTTTGGTTGTGAAATCACAACAGTCTGATGGGCTTGTACAGGGCGATGGCTGTGTAGATTTTGAGGTAGAATGTGAAATATGTGACTCTGTGTGTCTCCCATCCTCTCAGTGTTGGGATGGTGAATGAAGGAGTTTTGTGCAGTTCCAGCAGAGACACTAAAACACAGCAGTGATTGTGTCCAAACAGACAAACATGAACTAAATGCAGTGAAGCTGCTGTTTGTCTGAGTGCATCAAATGTCTGAGGGAGCTCACTGCACAGGAACGTTTACTTTTATTTCACTGTGAAGGCTGAACCCTCTCTGAAGGCAGCAGCATCATTTCAGAGTTTTAGAGTCGAACATTTCTAACAGGAAGTGATCAGAAGTCTACAAAAGGCTCTGAATCCTCAAACACTGAGAGGAAATCTGCTGTTCAAGCTGCTGATCGTGTTGTCAACATTTCAACACTAACTCCAGATGTTTCCAGTTGCACATCCATCACATCAGGGAAGTTCTGGCAGCAAAAACTGATCAAAGGCTGAAAACACTCATTTATCTGTGAGCAGCATCAACTTTTAGACAACAGGAAACATCAGCAAGCATTTTTACATCAGTCCCAAAATGAACAGAGCTGCTGCCTCCATCTACAAACTGCCCCACATGCAGAACCACAAACTCCACCCTGCACTGAGAACTGAAAAAGTCTTCACTGTTACTTTTCTACAGATCATCACTGAAAATATCATGACTGACTCATCATGAAGTCTTTTTTCCTTCAAACTACAAACATCCTGGACATTAAATGTTTCTGTAAACAGCAGCAGAAACTTCCAGGAACTGAAGACAAAACTTCAGACTTCAACACAAACAAATGTATGAACCCGGTCTCTGCCGCCATCTTTTATATACAAGCTATAGATAGTCTACAGTGGAAATAATAATTGAAACCAGCAAACACACAATCACGAAAAAGCAGAAGTTATACTGATGTTAGCCAGGAAACCATTACAGACTGCTTCCATTACCTTCACAGCGTCAGTCACAAACATTTACTTCAGGAAAGTGAAATTAAAGTTTGAACAGGAAGGAAACACCCACAGAGGCATCTGAGGACACCGAAACAAACACACTCTGTGCTGCATTCTAGTGCATCTTGGAAACTCCCAAAGCTCTGGCAGGTTATCTAAAGGTGATTTATTTCTGCTGGTTTTCCTGTTTGAAGCACAAACATCCGTCCCCACTTTGTTGTTCTTCATCCTGCAGCGTTTGAATATTTCAGCACTAAACTGATGTTGGTTCAAAGCTCATTTCAACCTGTTGAAGTCATGACTGAAAGTGCAGACTGAGAGTGGATCACATGATGTTTAAGGTGAGTCATGTTACATGTTCAGTATTGTCACATGTCTAGATTGTCCCTGATATCATAGCTGCTGATGATTATATTTGAAGAATTATTCCTGATGGCAGCAAAGTTTGAATGGAGCTCTCTGTCTGTGCTGATTTGTCGCCCTCTGGAGGTCAAAGCACAAACTGCATGATGTCACTGTAACCACCACAGTGACAGGAAGTGTTTTTATGACTGAAACACTGAAATGATGCTAACGGCTGTCGTTAGGCTCACTGACAGCAGTGCTGATGTGTTCATGTCAAACACTGGCTCAGGTCAGACTCCTTCATCCTTCTCCAGCGTGAAGCTGCCCTCAGACCCACAGGAGCTCTGACCTTTGACCTCCTGACCATAACCATTTTAGTCTCTTTGCATCTTTAAATGCAAATCCATCCAGACTGTAGCAGAGCAAAAGAAGGTGGAAGCTGTTCTATGATGTTCCTGTTTCCAGCTCAGACGTGTTAAACGCTGCTGCTGTGCTACATTTGTCACTTCCTGCTTTCACTACCATCCATGTCAAAGTGCTGAACTCATCTGATCACTTTAATGTAGTAAAGCAGGAGCTGTAAGTCTGACATTTATTTACTGTCATCACAAACACACACAGCTGGATTAGCACCAGACAAAGGTCTGAAAAGATGAAAATCAGCGTCTGATTTCTATTATATATCCTTTTTATGTGGATGCACTTTTCTATCTGTCAGTGCTGAAGCTGACGTCACTGATCACATGACTCTGAGGGATGTTTCCAGCACTTCGCTGAATCTGAGCCATGAAGATTTAAAGCAGCTCTGAAGGCAAAGCAGGTCTGAGCCTGTGTTAGCAAGCTGTATCTAATAAAGTGGCAGCAAGGACTCAGTCAGTAATGATCAAAGCCAGCAGGGGGCAGCACAGAGAGGTGATGTCATAGAAGCAGGCTCACATCAGACTGGTCATATTCCATCATCTATACCTGAAATAATCATCAAACACACGCAGAGCAGAAACATGTGGAAACATCTGGAGCTCAGTCTCAGTTTGACCCCTCAGAGGTTTACCTCAGTCCTGCTCCTCTGCTTCCTGTTTACAGCGCACATCATGCTGTGTACTGAGGGTCATGTGGTCAAAGCGAGGCCCTGGTACTCTGACAGAGAGCTAGCACAGTCATCCTAATGTATATCATCACTACCAGAGAGCATTCAGCTTTCACAGCAGCCAACATCCTGTCACACTGAGCATGTGCAAACACAGCAGCCAACATCCTGTCACACTGAGCATGTGCAAACACAGCAGCCAACATCCTGTCACACTGAGCATGTGCAAACACAGCAGCCAACATCATGTCACACTGAGCATGTGCAAACACAGCAGACAACATCCTGTCACACTGAGCATGTGCAAACACAGCAGCCAACAACCTGTCACACTGAGCATGTGCAAACACAGCAGCCAACATCCTGTCACACTGAGCTTGTGCAAACACAGCAGCCAACATCGCTGCAGTGCATCCTGGGATAGGGTGGGCCCACCTGTCCTTCAAATCCAGGGAGAAGAAGGACAGGTTTGTGGGAGACTGGGAGTCTGGACGGCCTTCATGGCCTCGCTGTGATGTCATGGACCTTCAGAGGAAGCAGAGCCTGAATTGAAACACACCTGCTGACTTCCTGTGTTCTGCTCTGACAGCTGCCATGTGTCACAGCCTGGATAATAAAGCCATCAAACTTCACTCAGCTCCAATAACACCATCAGTGTTTGATGTCCAGAGGATTCATCAGCTTTAACCATGATAGAAGCAGGAAGTTAAGATGAACCATGTTGTGACTGAAAGACAAAGCTGAAACATACAGATGTGTACAGATGTGTGAGCCTCCAAACATTGCTGCCGCTTAGTTTTCCACTAAGTCATCCCAGCTGACAGTAGAAATCATTGATTCAACCCATCAAAGCCCCAAAAATAGACTTTAAATACTCGATTTGAGACAATTGAAGTCAAATGTAAAGAAATGATTTCTCTGTCATTACTGCTGCATTCCCGCCCTGCATGCCCCCTCAACCCCGCCAGCCTCCACCACCATCCACATTCCGGCACTAGAAGTTTCCTCATTAAAGAAAAAAAAAATAGGTGCTTCACCCCCTTGATGGCTCCCAATCATACCCCCTCCCACGTCTCCACCAGCTCACGGATTATCTACTCTGAGGTCAGTCTTCTCCAAACTCGGTGCCCCTTTGTCGGAAGAGAAAATGGGGGACCTTTAACATCCCCGGAGTTCCTCAGGATAACCCTCGACACTAAACATTTCCAGGCTCCCCTGCCGATCAAAAGGTTAAGGCATCACCCTTCTCCTCCAAAACGTCCTCCTCGCTCTCTCTTGCTTCAAATGATGGCTGCTCTCCTTGTTGGGATGCTTAATCCTATACCTTACTTGCTTCACCTGCTGCATCCAAACCGCCACTCC